GGGGGTCCATTTTAGAGGGGGGGAGGTAAATAATGGACCCCCTTTCATTGTTTTTTTTTTTACTTTTCTCTTTTCCGTTGTATTGAACCATTGCCAAGTATTTTATTGTTTTTTTTTTTTTTTTTTTGAGGGATTGATTGATTGATTAAGTGGTTGATTAATTTGATAGATTGGTTGATTGATTGATTGACTGATTGATTGATTGATCGATTGATTGGTTGATTGATTGATTGATTTAATGATTGATTGATTGAACGTGCGCGCGCGCGCACACACACACACACACACACACACACACACACACACACACACACATATTTACATGCACCCTCTTACAAGCTAATCATTCTTTCTGCCTACCGCATATACACCATCGCATGGTTAAACCTTCACCCAACCCAAGTATGGACATTCAATTACTAATTCCCCAGGATAAAAGCGCGTGACCCCCCCTTTTTTGACACCCATGCACACCCCACAAAAAAACGCGCTTTTTTTGAAAAAATAAAACAAAAATAATAATAATAAAAAAAACAAAATATTTTTCGCAGAAACCAAAACCGAAACGACACAACACTGAAACAAAACGGCTGAACTAAAAACAAAACGTAACCCGCACGGACAAAAACAAAGGACGCATGCGACGCTCACACATAGAAGCCCAGTTGAATTGACCGCTGACGACCCACATACGACACATGCGAGCCACACACAAGCAGACAGAACGAAACGCAACGCAGTGCATAGCACAGGCCTGCGTCACGGTCTCGCAATGCCGGCATATCTGCACTTGAAGACAAAACCCATCGCCTCCAAAAACATACCACCCCACCACGATGCAATACCAGACATGCAGCACACCTGAATAATGGGCAACGGACACTGCACATGCACCGCGGGGCTCTACCAAACAGACGCCTCAGCTTTGCACCAGGGTGCTACCACGCACTGCGGCATAATGACACTCTCACAGACGCTATCACCCCTACTCCTTGCTATAGCGGCCTACCCTACCCCCCCTAAAAAAATCCCTCTGAACAACCACCTCATGGCCAGAGATAAGTATCGCCATCCCCTCTATACCCCCACTCCTAACCACATACCCCCCGCAGACTCATGGGGATCCGTAGAGCCGGGGACTTCCCAGCTTGATCCCACGCATGAGTACATGCAGCCATCACGACCCCCACCTCACCATACATATCCATACATCATACTTCCGCAAATCCTCTCCCCAACACTCTCCAATCTCTCTTCTCGTATCTCTCTGAAGCAGTGCATTCGTGTGGCCTACTATCCACCCTAGCTTGCTGAATGGTGATTGGCAGTTGCGCTCTCGCACACATTGATGCCATAGCTGGTGCTCCCTGCACCATCTTCGTCATACAGTGTGTTCTGTAATCGGCAGCAAGGTATATACCTTGTCGAGATCCGGTAGCCTTCGGTCTCACGCCTGCGATTACGAGCGGCAACCTCGAGGCCTGGTATGATGGCACAGATCAGGGATGACCTCCCCAATGCAGGCATCATGGAACACATGGTAAGAGTTGCTTTTACTCGATCCTATCTTGTTCCCCCATGGCCCTTCCCCTCACCCTCTCCTTGGGAGCCAGAGGACGTTCACCCTCTGATGAGCCGTGATTGGCGCTAGCGGCGAAAAGCGCTTTAGGGGATGCGCCCCCGTCCTCCACTAGTTTTTATGTTGGTGTTGATGGCATTGACCATCTTGCTCCCTTCCTCCTTTTTTCATATCCCCTCTTCTTCTATACCAAAGCGCAATAAGGTGCTTGTTGTTGCCACAGGTGCGTGCATGGAGTGCTGACCCCGACTTCGGCGACAAGGTATGTGCTCAGATTGCCCACGGACTCTATGGTATATCTATGGTTGTTGGAGATTCCCATATATGGGTAGCTATGGTTGCTTTTTGCACTTCGACACACGCATACTATCGGACACGGTCCTGCCGCAATGCGCGGGTTAAGCCCACCTGCTGATCTCCACCCACTTGCCAATGATACATACCTTCCCTCCGTGATGTGATCGGAGACGTACAGTTCATTAATGGCGGTCTTCCCCTCCTCTAAGCTATACTGGCTCATCACTGCACATGCGTACACTATCACCTGCCCTCCCACCAACCTCCTCCACCGCCAAGTTTTTTCAATCCACGCACATGCCCGCCCGCCTACCCCCACCATCCACCTAACTATATGACCCACCTAAGCGGCACCCTCGAACATAACACCGCACTCCCCCATGTAAGTAACTAATCCTGCATAATCCCACCTCCCAGCCAACCCCACCTATTACACCTATCCACCTCATCTTCTCGCCTATTCCCTTTAGTGTAAATAACACTACACAACTGACTATGCTCAAAACCTCCATGCCACGATAGTTGCACGACCAATACGAACAAATCCATGACCGAGATGATTTTGGATAAACCGATGAAACCCATTTCTATAAACTCATAGAATATCTGCACACATGATAAACTTGCAACCCCCGAAATTCTAAACCCAAACTCCACCATAGCCGTAGCAGACATAAACATTCAGGAATAAATCTAACTAGGCGCCTATT